TTTTTTTTTTTTTTTTTAATCATGGAAGAAACCCACGTACTGTTCTGTTACATCTTACCCGTTTGCGGGACGCGGCTTGGTAACGTGAAGTGTGACATGGTGTGCAGCAGACCTCCGGCAGAGCTGAAAGGTGACGCCTGCTGGACCCATGTCCCCCCGGGCCCTGGTGACCGTTTTCTCTGCGTTAGCCAGACACCTTTGCCCCGCAGATCTGCTGCCTTTCCGATCGACTCCCTCCTTCCCGTTCCACCACGCAACTGAGCAGGCAGGAGGCTCTCCCATCTGTTTAATTTTATATGTGGTCAAATCCATTGATTCTTTTTTCCATAATGGGAATCTCTCATCTCCCCTAACTTTTTCCACAAGGAAAAACCATACCTGTTTTGTTATTCTTACAAGATCTCCAGATAGTAACATATCCCAAGGTGAGAGGCTCCACAACCTTGAGAAGGGGCAGCCTGCAGAGGACTGTGGTGCCCAAGGGACAGCGGCCCCACCAGGAGTTGGGCTTGCCCGGGGCTCAGGCAGCCCGCTGACACGTAGGCCCACACTCCAGCGCCGCTGCTCAAGTTCTGTGGAACAGGTCCCCGGGTGCCCTCTGCCAACACCACTGCCCCGTCGTGCCTTTGGGGAAGAGGATGTCCAGGTGCCGCAGCAGCAAGCGCAGGGAATGGAGCTGTGTCTGCTCTCCTGGGGGATTTCAAGATCCTGTGCTCCCGCCTCAGGGTCCAGACCTGCCTCTTGGTTGGCTCTGCTCTCAGCCTTGCCTGGCAAGTGCTGTTATCATTATTGATCTGGGTGTGGGGATGAAGCTCTGCCTGGAGAGACTGGCAGCCAGACAGTGTCCATATCACTCTTGAAAATAGTCAGAGCAGAGCTCTCTCTCACCTGGAGACAGTGGCGGAGGTGACATCAGTGTGTTTGCAGTGATGGAGGGCAGGCCCCACAAGTCCTCCAGAGGCCGCAGGGATTTTAGGTAAAGATGGAGGATCATGCAGGCCATGTGCTCGTCCTGTGGTTGGGGGTCTTGCCATCACCCCATGTGCATCCCGCCACACTACACTGGTGGATGTCTCACTCCCCTGCTTCCCCTGGCCTGCTGCTCCCCAGGTTCTGCCTTGATGCCCGCCCCAGGACCCCGTCACTCACCCCGTCCTTCCTGTGTTTGTCTTCCTCTCGGACCTCACCTGAACCCACCGGATCGCCAAGATGGCGCACTGCACTTCTGCCTGCTGTCTTCCACCCACGCCTGGTCCTTGGTAGCAGGGCAGAGCCCGTGACCGGACACCCTGTGTGCTGCCTGTGCCGCTGTGGCCAGACCTGGCCCTTGCTTGGCTGGGTGGACACTGCCTCCGACCTCCCGTGGTGCTGGGTGCCAGGAAAGCATCTTCCTCCTTCTTCCTTTTGCCTGTACCTTCTTGGCTTCCTGACTGGGGCGTGGGCTCCCGTGTCTAAGACTTGGTAGAGACATCACCATGCCGTTCTGCAGAAGACGAAGCCACCCACACCTCGCTGGACGGTCAGGGAATTTGCTCTTGTCAACACTGATGGGTCCTTCCAAACCCAGGACTCTTCTCTCCTCAGGTGACCCAAGCTCTTTCTCACCCACATCACCCTTCCTCTCAGCGCCTGTCTGGGGTCACCTGGCATCTGAGAGCTGAGGCCGCCCACAGCTCAGTCCTCTGGGTTCTGCACCAGAGGCAGCCCCAGCACCAGCCATGGGCGTCCAGAGAGGGTGATGGGGTGGGTGTCACCCAGCAGTTTCAAAGTTGGCCTGACTCCTAGCGTGGCCATCCCCCCTGGACGGGACTGGAACACAGCCCCCTGCTGGGAGTAGACGAGCTCGCCCGGCCGTGATGGGCGTTCCTGTGTCCCTGGCTCTCTTTGTCTGACTTCTCGCGGTATCTGTTCCGTGTCAGCCTGATAATTAATATGCCAGATGCCCCTCTGTTGTTTTACTCCGACTTTTTGAAAATTCAGTCACACTGCAGAGCACGTCGCCACTTTCATTTTCGTACTTTCTCAGCCAAGTGCAAATTAGGATGCCGAGACAGTCCTTGAGAAAAATCTCCACTCCGGGCGCCTTTCTTCTGTGTGTGTTTGTTGAGGGCCCAAATCACCACTCATAATTTTGCCCAACGCCTGCTGCTCGGCTCTGTGGCCCCCTCCTTTACATCAGCTCTGCAATGGCCACAGTGACCAGGAGTGGGTGTCCCGACCCCATTTCCCACTGGACTGGGTCCTCAAAGCGCATCGCTGACCCCGAGCTGCTCAGAAAGGTGCCAGGCAGGTGGTGCAGGTCCCTGCCCATCGCTGAGCTGGCTGAACAGTGAGAGCAGAGCCCAGGCCGCTGCCCATGCAATATGCAATAGGATGTTTGGAAAATGTTAATCCAAGGCACACGCTCACAAAAATGAACTGGAGGAGTCATATGGAAATAGAAGAAATCACCGGAAAATGAATTATTTATTATGCATGAAGCTCTGCCTCTTCTTTCTGGCCCCTCTGCTGCTTGGCTCCCTAACTAGTGTCCTCAGCAAAGGTGACTGGCAAGGGGGTGGCAGCTGGAGTGAGTTAGCTTTGCAGGTCCTGGCACCTCCAGCCACCCAGGCTGCTCTTGTCCGTGCTCCCTGGAGTAGATGCCTGGCACCGGCTCATTGGGTAGGTGCTCACCGAGCAGGAGGCGTCCCCAAGGCCTGCTGTGTGCGGGCTCTGGCCTCTGGTTTGAGGGCACGGCCAGTGTACGGCCCACCCAGTGGAGGCGGCTGGGCAGTAAATGAGACATCACTGAACTGGGGGCCTCAGCATGGGGAGCCATGCGCTGTGTGGAGAAAGGCTGGCAGAGGTGTGCGCTGGCAGACAAGGCTGTCCCAGCGGCAGTGACATTTGTGCCAGCAGGATCCAGGAGGGACAGCAGGAGAAGACCTGGCTGCCCACGCAGAAGGGAAAGCCAAGGCCCAAAGCGGCCCCAGCTTGGAGGGCTGCAAACCAAAAAAGGCCAGGGTAGCTGGGCAAGTGAGAGCCAGGAGGTGTGGCCTCTCCTCCACCCTGGTGTCTGCCATTTGATTTCCCTCTGAGATCCTCTGTAAATTCACGACTGGTTTTTAAAATATGGGGCTGAATGTCATGAGGACATGTGGGGGTCACAGAGGCAAACAGACACCGTGCAGTCATCCACGCGGAAAGGGTGGCACTTAGACCGGAAATGGAGATGCCGTGACGGT